GGGCCCCCCCCCCCCCCAGTGCACAAATTTTTGTGCACCGGGCCTCTAGTACTTACATAAAATGGCTCATATAAGCTTTATTCACAATAGCCAACAGCTAGTAACTCAAATGTTCACCAACAGCTATATAAACAATCATAATATATCCATAAAATGGAATGCCACTCAGCAATAAAAAGTAATGAACTATTGATATGCACAACATGGATGAATTTCAAAATAATTTTGTTGAATTTCAAAGCTAGACAATAAAGTGTCCATACTGTATTATTCCACTTGAAATGCAAACTGATCTATAGAGACAATACATGAGTGGGACAGGGGGATTGCAAAGGGTCACAAAGAAACTTTTGGTGGTGATGGATATGTTCATTTAATTTTATTGTAGTGATGATTTCAAACATATGTCAAAACTTATCAAATTGCATACTCTGAACATTGCATCTTATTGATATCAATTATACATCAATAAAGCTGTTAAAAACCATTAGCCTATCTTGCATTTTGAATGGATCGTTTACACACACAATTTTATAACATCATGCATTTAGAAAGTATCGGTTCAACAAATGATACAAATCTTGACATACTTGAAAGTTGACACATTTCAGTATACAATATAAAAAATATCATTCACTAATATCATTAATCTCAGACAAGTCTTTATTTTTTTAAAAATATACCAATTATTTTTATTGGCATTTAAAAAATAATTGATATAGAGAAATAGATATAAAATAGAACACACCATGGAAGCAAGTGGAAGAACACAGCATTTTTACAGTTTATATAAAAATCAAGAATAGAATTTCAGACAAGTCTTTAATTATTGTGATGCAAACTCATGGTAATGAAAACAAGTTTTCCAAACTTCTAATTATTGAATAGCTTGGCTTTTATCATTGTCCACAAATACTGTCAGTTGTTTTCCTTAAAGTGACAGACTCACTTAGTGAATTTTTAAGAACATGTCTAACAAACACTAAAGTCTGAATAATCATAGTCTGTCGGCCATTCTTTCAAGTAAAAATGGTCTCTTATGAAAAAAGTAGCTAGGTCAGTTGGAACTCAATCACTAAAATGCTTTACTAGAGAGAACCATCATACTTCAGTATACAAAGTGCTGTATGCATACCTCCCATTTTACCATGTAAAGGATGAAAAAAAAAAAAAAGTGGCCAAAACCGGTTTGGCTCAGTGGATAGAGTGTCGGCCTGCAGACTGAAAGGTCCCAGGTTTGATTCCGGTCAAGGGCATGTATCTGGGTTTCGGGCACATCCCCAGTGGGGAGTGTGCAGGAGGCAGCTGATCGATGTTTCTCTCTCATCGATGTTTCTAACTCTCTATCTCTCTCCCTTCCTCTCTGTAAAAAATCAATAAAATATATTAAAAAAAAAAAGTGTACTCAAGGACATTCTTAAATGAACTTTGAGGGAAAGAATACAGTGATTATTATTAGTACAGTTTGATGCCATTGCCTTGATTTGTGCTAAAGTACCAGCAATTTTATTCATCACTAGAGGCCTGGTGCACGAAAATTCGTGCACTGGGGAGGCGGGGGTGTTCCTTCAGCCCGGCCTGTGCCCTCTTGCAGTCCAGGAGCCCTCAGGGGATATCTGATTGACGGCTTAGGCCTGCAGTCTGGCCTCCCTCTGCAGGAGGTGACCGGGCAGGCTGATCAGGAGACAGCACCAGCCGGCCCTGGCTGTTCTCCTCCCTTGCCCACTGGCATGTGCCTTGGCTGGCCTGGCGCCGCCTGCTCGCCAGCCCCGCCCGCCTCCAACTGGTTGTTCCACTGTTCTGTTGATTTGCATATTATGCTTTTATTATATAGGATGGCTTTTGCATCAGAATATAAATGTTGCCCTAGATGGTTTGGCTCAGTTGATAGAGAGTCAGTCTGTGGACCAAAGGGTCCCAGGTTCGAGTCTGGTCAAGGGCATTAAAAAAATAAAATAAAATAAACATCAACATGATGAAAAAGGCAAAAGGCATCATAGTATTATTATGAAAATGGTTTTGACATCACAGACTTGCTAAAAAGGGCCTCAGAACCAAGGCTTCATAGACCACAGTTTAAGAAATGCTGCTTTATATCAAGACTTTTATAAATTGTAAATAACATAAATAAAGCCTTACTTTTGTGGGATCTTGTCATCCTATCAGATTTAGCAGATGCATCTTTAACTCGGTTATGATATTCTAAAAGGAATGTTCGTTCATGCTCAAAGAAATCATCTACATCCTATAGGATCAAAAGAAAATATGAACTTTTTTCAATTGTTTGCTTTAATGTAATATGTAAATCATTTTGTTATCATTATAATCACAAAAGATCATTAGTAAAATAGCATCCTATCCTTAATAATCAGATGTTATATTGATTTCACCAACAAATTCAGACTTTAATAAACATGAATTTCTATCTATCAAGTAAGAGATCTTCTATGGTTTTGCAGCTGAAGGCTTAGAGCTCCCCATATGGTTCTCTGAAACGTGTTCGTACTCATGCTCTGCCTTTACACCCCAACAAATACATTATTGTCAGTGGGAGTGACCAATTGTTTTTGAGAAATAAAGAAAAAATTCTGATGGACAAGTAAGTCTATTTCTCTTGGTCTATTATGTATACTATGGGCCATTTCAGAAGGCTGGGAGCAATTATTATATCAACCACTGTCTTCAATTTTTTTTTTTGGAGCAAAGTTAGATAAACATCAAAATAAAAATTATTAACAGTACTTTCCTCCCTTCTAAAATGTCCATTGTTTATTGAAAGAGCACCAGTTGAAATGATGTAATTAAAGATCCACATCAACAGAAAATTAGAAGCCAAATACTGACAGAATGACATTTAAATCTGTAATTCATGTGTACCAGTTCTCCTAACTGTAAAAATGGGGATAACATTAACTTGCAGGATTGTAGTGAAGATTAAATAAGAAAATGTGGGCTATCAAACATCACATTGTAAATGTTAAAATTTTAGTTACTACTTTATCAAAACCCTAATCAATATAGTGGTTTACACTAAATGCTAAGAAAAATGTTCAATATTAGTGCATAAGCAGCATCAAAATGGAAGTAGGCTGAGTCCTTATTAGAAAGTAGTTATAGCACATGCATAGTCAACATATAATTGACCTATCTCTGAAAAATCAAAGTATAAATCAAATAAATAGTACTTTACACCTAAGTTTTATTGTAGATGTATCTATAAAACAGGTAACGATGACAAAGCAGCATTATTTATAGCTTAGTAATTGCTTGATAGTGTAATATAAGCATTTTACTCTTATATTTTAATGGTATGAGTCTTCAGACAAATTAAGTCTTATATCATTTTAGGACACCATTAAGAAAAAGTTAGGTGTTATGTAGGTAAATAATTAACTTTGTAAGTATTTTCACACATATTATCTCATTCAGTCTTTCTAACAATCCCGTGAGCCAGGTGGTATTATTAACTGCATTTTGAAAATGGAAAACAGATTCAGAGAAAGAGACTTTTCTCAAGATCATATAGCTACTATGAGCCCTGACCGGTTTGGCTCAGTGGATAGAGCGTCAGCCTTCAGACTCAAGGGTCCCAGGTTCGATTCCGGTCAAGGGCATGTACCTTGGTTGCGAGCACATCTCCAGTAGGGAGTGTGCAGGAGGCGGCTGATCGATGTTTCTCTCTAGTCGATGTTTCTAACTCTCTATCCCTCTCCCTTCCTCTCTGTAAAAAATCAATAAAAATATATTAAAAAAAAAAAAAAGATCATATAGCTACTATGAGACAAGACCAAAACATCAACTTAGCTCTTCTAATTCCCAATGTGAATCCAGGTCTGCTCCTAACATTTGTAAGGCCAAGGGCAAGTGTACAAATGGAAGGAGTCTTTTTTTGTTTTTAAAGCAACAGCTAGTAACTCAAATTAATTAATTAATTAGAGAGGAAGGGAGAAGGATAGAAAGAAACATCGATGAAAGAGGAACATCATCAATCGGCTGCCTCCTGCACACATCCCTACTGGGGATTGAGCCCACAACCCAGGCATGTGCCCTTACCAGGAATCGAACCAGTGACCTCTTGGTTCCTGGGCTGATGCTCAACTGCTGAGCCACATTTATGTCCCACCCTGCAGCTCTGCAGGGCATCCAGATGGATTTCTTGTGCATGTGGCTGGACAGTCCATCCTGTTTACTGATTTTCTCCCCTGTGCCTTCCCTCTATTCAGCTGTCCTATAGTCACCCCTTGATCACCCACAGAGTGCACACACCAGTAGCACTGTCTACCCACTGGAGGATCGACTCAGGGAAAAAGCCCATGCAGGACCTGGAGGTAGGCTTGGAATTTGGCTAAAGATATCTAGGGTTCTAGATAACTGGAGCACGGTCTGGTTTGGAGGAAGAGGTGTGGGGTTCAGGTAGGCAAATTCCCTTCGACCTGCAAATCTCTGACCCTTGGAAAAGGAAGCTCTAAAGCAGTGGTTCTCAACCTTCCTAATGCTGCGACCCTTTAACACAGTTCCTCATGTTGTGGTGACCCCCAATTTCATTGTTACAAATTGAACATAATTAAAGCATAGTGATTAATCACAAAAACAGTATGTAATTATATATGTGTTTTCTGATGGTCTTAGGCGACCCCTGTGAAAGGGTCATTCAACCCACAAAGGGGTCGCGACCCACAGGTTGAGAACCGCTGCAAGAGTGTACCCAAGGTAGGGGGTCTAATTTCCTAGGCTTAAGGATTCTACTGCCCAAATTTCTCTTTTACTCGAATATAATCTTTTACACATCTAAATTTTCAGTCTAGCTTCCTTTTAAAAGGAGTAAATTCTTGCCCTAGCTGAAAAGAGCATCTATTCTCCCTGAAATCAATAAAAAAAAACATTTTTTAAAAAAGGAGTAAATTCTTAAACAAATACTCCTATTAATCAAATAAAATCTTACCTTTACTCCTGAAACAATTACTCCATCTGCTGATTTAACCATGTTTTTAAAGAAATCTTCAAGTTTCTCTTTTTTATTTTTTCCTCGCACACTCAACTGAAAGAAAGGTAAGTAGAAGTTAGCATTTTAAAAAATTACAAATGGAAATTAACGCCTTTTTTACACTTTGATGTCAACAGGGCAATTTCAAAAAGATCCCAGTTTTTAAACTTAATAAAGTAGCAATTTCATCATGTATATTAACGATTTTCAAACTTCAGGGAATTAAAGAAAAGTTTGGCCTCACCTCAAAGATTCAGATTCAGCTGATCTACAAAAAGACCTAGATATCTCAGTGTATATTTAATAATTCTGTTGTAAGTAGACCTCTCATCATATCCTATCTAGCACTACTATATAATGTAAAGACAACTAAAATGTTAACTCAGAAGTTCCTTTAAACATAAAATTTATTGGTGTACAATATACCATCATACACTTCTGTAAAAGGTCTGAAAATATATTCTGCACATTCTTCACTCTAAATTCATCCAAACATCATCTACTGTCCTGTTTTTGGTGTCAGCAACTTCGAGTTCAAGGGACACAAAAGATGACTTTGAGTGGCATGAATGGTTATCTAAGGCAAAACTGAGAAGCAGCCAATAACTCTGACTTTACCACTTGCTACATTAGGGTGTCCAATAAAGGAGCACCCTATCTAACTTCCTTATCTACTGGCATGGCTTCAATGCTCACCTTTATGTAAATAACTCACAAATCTCTATCACTACCCCTCAGCTCTTTCCTGATTCATAGATCCAACTGCCTATATCATATCTTTTTAAAAAAATATGTTTTTATTGATTTCAGAGAGAAAGGGAGAGGGAAAGAGAGAGAAACATCAATGATGAGAGAGAATCATTGAATGGCTGCCTCCCGCACGCCCCCTACTGGGATCGAGCTCACAACCTGGGCATGTGCTGTTGACTGGAATCAAACCCAGGACCCTTCAGTCCACAGGCCGATGTTCATTCTATCTACTGAGCCAAACCAGCTAGGACCCTATGTATATATCATATCCTTACATGGAGATAATGCTAATCTCATATCACATGAGTCTAAGACAGTACTCATTATACGCTCTCCACAATCTAACCTCCAAATTTTTCCTCTTCCTGTTCCCTATTCATGGCTCTCCATCCAACCAGTCTCTCACACTCCTATATACTCCCTAAAATCCCATACCTCTCATTAAAATTCTTTAAATAATCTACAATTTCTTTCTCTCACAGCTCAAATTCTACCAGCAAATGTCTGATATCTGTTCTTTATATTAACTCTGTCCTAGTAAATGTCCTCATTATCTCTTGCCTAGACTACTACATCGGACTACTAGTTAACATCCTTCATCTCAATCCAATCCATTCTGCTGCTTTGGGATAACTTTCCAAAATCAAATTTTGAGCATCTTTTCTTTACTCAATAACTTTACAGTTTCACAATGTTCAGAGAATAAAGGCCAATCTCCTTAGTATGCTATTAAAGATTTTCAACAATCTGATTCAATTTTATCTTTTCACCCATTAACTTACCTCCACCAAAACTTATGTTCCAAATAATTCTCAAAAGAATCTCTGAACTTTTAGGTTCCTCTGTACCTGAAATGGTACCTCCCCTCTCATCAAAACTGCTATTCAGACTTAAACATTCAAATTAAAAGGCATCTCTCTTCATGTAACTCTTCCAAGTTAGAATTTACTGTTCTATCTTTAGGCCCTCCAACACACACTGATTTTTTAATTTTATTATTATTTTTTAAATTTTTTAAATAATTTTTATTTCTTAAGGTATTACAAAGAGTATTACATATGTCTCCTTTTTCCCCCCCTTGACATTCCCCCGGCCTCCCCTACCCCCCAGTGTCTTGTGTCCATTGGTTATTCTTATATGCATGCATATAAGTCCTTCGGTTGATCTCTTAACCCCCCCCCAAACTCTCCCCAGGCTTCCCACTGTAGTTTGACAGTCTGTTCAATACTGCTCTGCCTCTGCATCTACCCCTGTTCATCA